GGAAATTTAAGATCAGGCATGGGGACGGCACTGAGATTGTTGTAGACCCAACTAAGGAGGTCACCTAAATCCAGTTTTATATGGATGGCAAAGTAGTAAAGGGTAAAAAAACAAAACAAAACAAAAACCCTCACTGCCACTTGGTGGCTGCTAACACCACCCACCCACCTCCTCTCTCTCTCTCACACACACACCACATACATCCTTCCATCTATTCTGACTGCCCACCCTCCACCTGCACTTTCTAACCATGTTGATCCTCTCTGCAACTGGGTTGGAAAGTAGAAGGCAGTTTCATGTTTTTGAAGAAACCTCTGAATCCTATTATCTTCACAAATATAAGATGAGAAAGTCATTTTTGACTATTTTAAATTAATCTTTATAAAGAAACTCCTATGAGCAGTTAAGGAAGATGGTTGTAGTTGGGTGATTTGTGTTCTTTTATTTTGTTTCAGCTGTAAGTTGAAACATTCGCAGAATTCGGGGTGTGGCGCATCTCAGAACAGGTCTTGAGCAGGTGAATCATGGCATTTTGTGAATATATGTGGACTGCACCACTCTTCAATCTTTGCCTCTTGGATTATTATGCTATTTTACCCTTACTTTGCTACATTTCTATAGATAAGTCGAATGATTCATGTTTAGAAGGGGATGAGAAAAAAACTCTTAAGATTTGATTCCACTCCTGTAAACAAAAAAATAAAAACAGAAGTGGCAGATGTTAAAAACGAAAAACCTATTGCCATTGATTCTGACTCACGATGACCCTATAGAACAGAGTAGAATCGCCCCTGTAGGTTTCTGAGACTGTCTGTCATTATGCAAATAGAAAGCCTCACCCTTTCCCCCTCATAGTGTATGGTGGGTTTGAACTTCCGGTCCTTTGGAAGAAGAGGGAATTTGGTATAGGGGGTATGAAGTGAAAAGATCAAAACAGAGAGGGAGATGGGGGTAGGCTCTATAATTTCACTTTGTCTTGGGTAGACGTTTCAGTTGTCCACGAAGGAGCAGTACACTCTATTCAAGGGGATCTCAAACTTTAGTGTACGTCAGAATTATCTGAAGGGTTTGTTAAAACAGATGCCTAGAACCCAAACTTGAGTTTCTGGTTCAGTAAGTCTGAGATGAGACAGAATTTGCAAGTTCCTGTTGAAGTTGATCTGCAGACCCAAAGCAAAAAAAACAAACTGCTATCTAGTTGATGCTGGATCACAGCAACCCTATAGGACAGGGTTGACCTACTTCTGTGAGTTTCTGAGACTGTAACTCTTTATGGGAGTAGAAAGCCCCATCTTTCCTCCAGAGTAGCTGGTGGTTTCAAACTGCTGACCTTTCAGGATCACAGTCCAATATATAACCACTATTATCACCAGGGCTCCTCCCATACTTTAAAATCAATTTTTGCTACCTGAGGCAAAAAAAATTATCCAGTCAGCTTATTTTCTGGTCATTTTTCTGTCAAAGAGCTAAGTAAAAAGTGTAGGGGTGGTATTAAACTTGCCAATCAAGTCATCGCCTGATGTGCTGCCTTATGGCCTTCTGAGAAGGAGTGCCCCGATAACCTTCCCTTATCTCTGCCTTGGCCTTCCTACAGGTTGACCCGGATTACTGCCAGAACCCTGTGATCCCTCCACCACCATTGGATCCACAGGATTTTGTACCCACTGAATTGTGATATTCCTGCATTCTGCATTATTTATGAGTGCATGAGTAGTACACTGTTGCATGGAGTAGTAACAGACTTATGGAATTGAGCCGGACTGGGCCGTTTTCTTGATACATGAGGAGATAACCCACCACCCCCCCCAAAAAAAATCTGGAATTGCATTGGGCAGAGCTTTCATAGTATGCAGTTTTCTCTCTAGGCAAGCATTGCATTATTGCACCCTGTTGCATTGCCTAGGAAAGCTCTCTGGTCAGTGAATTTTTTTGTAAAAGCAGTTTAGCTCAAACCTTGTTTTTTGGGATGGCCAATTTAAGAGAATAGCATGCAGCTATGAAATTGTTTCCTCGAGAAAAACGCCACAAAAACTGTTGTGATGTTGAACACAGCTTACAAGGGCAGTGCTATGGGGAAAACCTCACTGCACAAGTGGTTTTCTTGTTTTAAAAAAGGTGAAATGTCGATTGATGACAAACTTCGTTCTGGACATCCATCAACTTCCCGAACAGATGAAAATGTCGACTCTGAAATTGTAGTTAATTCCACCTGGTCACACTGTTAATCAAGCTATGTAGAGGTTCTGAAAAGATTGCATGACAGTGTGGACAAAAAGGGCCTTATTTTTGCCAGGTGAGGGACTGGTTTCGCCAACACAATGGACCTGTTCACGCAGCCATCTGTGCCCGTTTTGGGCAAAAAAACAGCATACCTCTCTTGCCCCGTGCAACTGAATCACCTGACCTTGCTTTTTGTTTCTGAGAATGAAGAGGGCCATGAAAGGGCAGCAATTTCACAGGTGAAGAAAAAAAAGCGGGTGGTGCTGTCAGCCATACAAAACAGATGAGTGAAAAATGTTAACAAGAATGGAATCACAGATTTGACAAATGTATTAAGTGTAATGGAGAGGACTTTCAAGGTGTTAAGGTTGTTTTTTAAAAAAAAATTTAAATACATAGCTTTGAAAAATAAATTGGTTCTTGGGAGTATCCTCTTGTATAATTACTTCATATAAATCTCTTGTTACCCATGTATGAGTGTCACCTGATTTGTTTCTCTGGTCAACCCAGCCTAGCAGATAGATTTTGTGTTAACTTGACTGGGTCATGTTTCTCAGTAGTTTGGCACTTGAGGCCTCCCCCAGTAATGTGGCCTAACATAAACTGCTCCATGATGGGATCTGCTATGGGATGATTAAGGTGCAGTGCAACCCTTAGATAATCGCCTTGGTGATGTTTCCTCAGGGGTGTGGCCTACTTCACATATATAAGTACACACTGCGGAGAATTTCCTCACTTCTTGCTGTTCTGAATCCTACCATCTGGCTTATTGATCTCCAGTACTTTGGACTTGAGCCAACAGCCTGCCATACTGCCTGCCAAGCCTGGGAACCACCAGTCTGCCATCTGCATCCATGGTCTTCCTGCTACCTGGTTCATCAGCCACAGCAGCTACTTGAATCAGGAAAAGCCTCCAGCGTAACATCTGACCCATTGACATGTACCAGACAACTGTGTAGGCCACTGTCTTGATAAAAATTTCTGCCTATCTGTATATATAGCTATAGATAATCTGAGATATATATACATAAAATAACTTGTTTTGCCTCTTTACAAAACCCAGCCTTGCACAGTCCCCTTATACATTCCAAGAGGGAGATAGAGAAAACAGTGATTAATACAGCTTATTTAATATATGAATGAGTATATCTATTCCATTGCCTGTCAATGAGGATTTAAAAGAAAACAAGTCTTATATTCTGGAAGTAGGAATATCAAATGATATCTTTCTGTGCAAGTTTTTATACATGTAACATTCTAATACTTGAAAAAAAGTACTATCTGATCAGGCAATTCTACTTCTAGAAATTTACCATAAGGAACAAGTTGGAAATGCATTGCAATATTTAGGTATACACATGCTCATCATGTATGTATGATTCATAAAAATTAGAAGTGGAAATAGTTTGAATGTCTAGCAATTGATAATTGGATAAATGTTTTTCTGTGGAAGCAATTTTATAACAAGAAAATTAAGTATGAAAAGTGATATTAAAGATGCGTATTGTGTATACGTGTAATCTTTTTTAAGTTGTTCTGTGTTTTTTAAATTGCTACAATGATTTTCATGATCAGAAAAACCATTATTGCTCCAAATTACTTGAGCCAAATTTCAATAGGAAACTGAATTCATGTACACTGTCGTCCATGTTCAAGTTTAGGACTTTGCAGTAAAGCTACAGCAAAGTCCACAGATCTTCAGTCAAACTGATCATTTTGGCTCCTCTACACAATGTTACTGATAAGGCAGTCATTGTTGTCTATTAATTTGGTTCAAAAAGCAATAGTAAAAATGAGACAGAGTCTAAACTAACTTGTCCTATATCTATATACCATATTCCTTGTAAAAATAACCATTACATGTTAAGGTACACCATTTTCTGCATTTTACAAGAAACTTGGTGGGGATACAGTTGAAGTAAATATTTTAAGTTTGATAATCTGTCTGTACCAGGATCACTATTATTGTGGACTCCAAGAATTAATGGTCAGGAAGAATTGCATGTCTTTAAACTTTTATTTATTCAATGTGTACATAACATGAAATGCCACAACTTATAATTCCTATAATTTGACGCTAATAGTAAAAACATAAATTCACAAAAAGTATAAACACCTGGTTACAAATGTAGCATTTTAATAGCCATGGGGTAAAATGCCATCTAACCGACTTTTGAGACATGAATATTTAGCCATAAAAATACTAATCAACTACCTCTTTCTATTTATAAAACTGAGTCTACTTAGGATTCATGTGTGAATTTTGCAGCTTAAGGTACACATTAAGCCAAAGGAATAAATTCCACAATATTGAAAAGGACATTATATTCTGAAAACAACTTTTTTTTGTTTAATCTTTCCTTGTTGCTTACATTCTTGTTCTTTTATACATACAAATATGAACTTTTTTTCACTTATGTGAACACTTAGTTTGGAAAGATT